TAGACTTGATAATGCTGCTGAGTTTTCATCCCAAGCATTTAATGATTATTGTTTATCAATTGGAATAAAAGTGAGACATCCTGTAGCTCATGTTCACACTCAAAATGGTCTTGCAGAGTCTTTAATTAAACGTCTGCAATTGATAGCAAGATCATTACTCATGAAAATGAGGTTGCCCACTTCTGTTTGGGGTCACGTCATTTTGCATGCAGCAATGCTAGTTCGTCTCAGACCGACAAATTATCATAAATATTCCCCGTTGCAATTAGTTTTGGGTCATGAACCTAATATATCCCATTTAAGAATTTTGGGATGCGCAGTATATGTGCCTGTAGCACCGCCATATCGCACCAAAATGGGTCCGCAAAGAAGGTTAGGAATATATGTTGAGTTTGAATCGCCCTCCATTATTCGCTACCTCGAAACATTGACGGAGGATTTTTTTACTGCACGATTTGCAGACTGTCGATTCGATGAGACACTTTTCCCAAAATTAGGGGGAGAAGTTGGTAAAACCAAACAGAAAATTTGTGGAAAAATCCATCATTATCTCATCTTGATCCACGTGCCTCTATTTGTGAAAAAGAGGTGCAAAAGATTATCCATTTGCAGAGAATAACAAATCAAATACCAGACGCATTTACGGATTAGAAAAGGATAACAAAATCACATATCCCTGCAGAGAATGTTCCAATCCGTATTGATGTCCCTATTGGACAATCTTCTAGTGTCATAGCTAATGAGTCAAAAGCACGCCTAAAACGTGGCAGACCATTAGGTTCCAAAGATCGAAATCCTAGAAAAAGGAAAACAAATGATCAAAATGACACTACGAAAAAATCTCATGAAGAAATCCACGATTTAATAAATTTTGAGATTCATGAGGAATCCACTAAGCCCGAGACTCAAGAAAATAAGGAACTATCAATAAACCCTATCGATATTGAGATAAATTCACGTTTTGCAAGTGAATTTAACTCTGATTGAATCCCTATCGNATCTAGCATTATGCAAGAAAGTGAGGATCTTGAACCTCAATATGTTGGAGAATGTCGACAAAGATTTGATTGGACAAAATGGCAAGAAGCAATTNCCTACAAGGAGACATTGGAATGGAATCAAACACATATTGCGGTATCTAAAAGGGACTATCGATATGGGCTTATTTTATGGCAACAATTACAGTCCCGATCTGGTTGGTTATGCTGATGCTGGGTATTTATCTGACCCACACAAGGCTCGGTCTCAAACATGTTATGTATTTACCTGTGGAGGCACTGTCATATCTTGGCGATCGACTAAGCAATCAATTGTGGCTACTTCATCTAATCATGCTGAGATAATTGCTATTCATGAAGCAAGTCGAGAGTGTGTGTGGTTGAGGTCTATAATACATCTTATTCGAGACAAATGTGGTTTGAAATGTGACAAGTTACCCACAATTTTGTATGAAGATAATGCAACATGCATAGCTCTATTGAAGGGAGGGTTCATAAAAGGAGATAGAACAAAGCACATTTCACCAAAGTTATTTTTCACACATGATCTTCAAAAGAATGGTGATATCAATGTGCAACAGATTCGTTCAAGTGATAATATGGCTGATTTGTTCACAAAATCTCTACCAACGTCAACCTTCAAGAAGCTAATGTACAAAATCGGGATGCGAAGGCTCAAGGATGTGAATTGATGCTCTCATCAAGGGGAGTTAATGCGCGTTGCACTCTTTTTCCCTTACAAGGTTTTGTCCCACTGGGTTTTTCTTGCAAGGTTTTTAATGAGGTAACCAAAAGGCGTATTATTAAACATGTGTACTCTTTTTCCTTTACTAGAATTTTTTTCCCATTGGGTTTTATTTTAGTTAAGATTTTAATGAGGCACATTACTTATCGAGTAAACATTCAAGGGAGAGTGTTATGAATAGAATTCTATTTAGAGTGAATGTCTATCTTGTAGAGAGTTTTACTTTGTGGCTAAATCATTTTTTCCCTATAAATAGATGGGTCTTACCCCATTGTAAATCATCCCAAAATTCAATAAGAATTTTCTCTCTCTTTCTCTGCAATATTGTTCTTCTACTTTTATTGTTCATCACAGTTTGACTTTTTTGACTTTTTAATTTATTTAATATTGTTTGACTTTTCTATTGTGCTTTCTTTATCCACTAAAATACAAAAGCTATCTTATTTCCCCAAAAACTTTTCCCACCCAAAACCCTTCTCTTCTACTGCGCTGTTGTCCCAAATTTGGGGATTCTTGGATTTTCATTGTTTCAGTCCGTCACTCACCGGCAGTTAGCCACCACCGTTTGGTGTCCACTTTTCCATTTTACCTCACCTTTTTGCTGCACCACTGCTTTGTAATTTGACTGTAAATCTCTCTTATTCTCTTGCTTCTTTTTTTAATTTTTTTTATGTTGGGTTTCTCTGAAAATAATTTTTTTGGTGGTATAGTTAATATTTAAGAATATAGACTTACAAGTTGCTAAACCCCGTTGATCCTTTCATTTTCTCCCTTGTTTTTCTTTTATTCAATTCAAAATTGATTTTTTTTCTCTGTTTCAATCTTTAATTTATAGTTTATTGTGTTATTGTGTATATTATTCTCTTGAATCTCTGATTGTATTAGCTTTTGCATTTTGTTGTCAGATAAGCTTTTAAAGCATTTTGTTGTCAGATTTTTATTTTCATTATTTGTTTTGCTCTTGCTGTTGATTCCTTGATGGCATTCATTGGAAGTTTAGATTTTCAGTCTTAATTCAAATTTATACCAAAAATGCATATGACATGTATGTTTTTGTTTACTTAAGGATGAAAGAATTATGTATGTCTTACTTATTAGTTATATTGACCAACTGATTATGGTAGTATTTTGTTAATTGGAAGATATTTCCAATTGTCAGAACATGAAAGAAGTTGTCTTTTTGTACTTTTCACGTGGAAGAAATTTTATGATATTGGTATTACTGCTGAAAATTTTATGATGTGCGCTAAGTTGTCATAATTTATTTTCGTTCGATATATTTATCTATATAAATCGAAAAGATGAATAGCTAGAATCGAAGCACAAAGTTGATCAAACTGACTATATATTTATCCCATTTGGACCGTATAAATAATAATATATCTATGTATAAAATAATATGACACCCGAAAACTTCAAATCCTAGATCCGCCTCTGCTCTTTATAAGAAGCAAAAGAATTGATGTGGTTATCTAGTAGATTTTTCTCTTTCTAAAAGTATAAAACACACAAAAAAAACAAGAAAAGATCTAACATATCTGTTACTATTATACTAAAACAATAAAATTTACTCTTTCGTATTTCTTTGAAAACGTAAATAGACAATTTTTCTAACATTTGCTCAGCTCTTTTTTTTGCTCATTCAATGATTCTTTAGTGTTACCTACCTCTCCTGCCATATAGAAAATATTAATATATAGCTATTCGTTTATTCGTGCCAATTCTTCCTCACATCCTTATCCATTTGAATTTGGCTAAACTTCTTAGCAGTAACAAATGAATTACAGACCAGACTGTAGCCTAAGATTTATATCCACACACAATCTCTTATTACAACAATCAATGAGTTAGGAGTCAGAAAGCTATAAGAGCTATTCGATTACTGTACTCTATATAAAGCAGTTAACAGATTTTTGAACATAGATCCATACTAAGCTCCAGGTATTCTAATACCCAAAAAATTTATATATAAAATCACAAAATAAAGTAAAGTGAATGAGTCTTCAAATATATCCTTGCAATTTCATTTTCTTTTATGTCACTTTCTCACATAAACTTGCGATTCAACAATCACTATTGGTTGAAGCTGCAAAATTTATTGTAAGACATCAGACAAATTTTGTCTATTAGGATTACTTATAGTTCTAATTGGACACATTAGCTTCTTGAATTTTCCTAACAAGAATTTGATTTGCCATGCTTGTTGCTTTCCTTTTCGTTTATCTTCTCTGACTTTGTTTCTATATTGATGTGTAGCTGATCTAATAACTTTGAATATTTTTTCACAGGGATACAAGAATAAAGTAGTATTTTTTCCAGTTTGACATATTTAAATTTCCTTTTTTTTTCTAAGTTAACATATTTAAAGCTCCCTATGTATGTATTTACTGTTAAATGGAAGTATGTGTTTATCATCAACTTGATGCTTTTTCTCTTTCAGTAAAGTGCAGGAAAGTTTCCTTTCTGTTAAGAAGAATCAACTAAATGCTGATTTTCAACAGAAAGTAAAGGAAAACTAACAGTTTTTAAGTAAATATCAAGATCACATTAGGTTTTGCTGCACATTTTTTCACATGAATCATGCGTAAGCATAGGCAGTTTTATTACTAATCAAAATTAGTTTCTTAATTGGTTGACTTATGGGAATATCATATATGCCAATACAAATTTTATGAAAACATTAGAGACATCTTTAAAGTACTATATTAAAAATATGCTAAATTTCCTCAAGTAAACAATGCAAGACATTTTACCTTTAATAAGAAAAGGAGCCTGAAAACTTCGAGTAAAAGATGACAACGCGTCGATACACAAACCTTTACAACAACAAAATTATCATCCAGTATTATGACATCAAGCTTTATTTGGCGACCCTGTTCCTTGAAAGCCCATAGCTAGACCAATGTCAACCTTCAAGACAGATGCAACACAAATTATTATAGAAAATATCTTAGCCAAACTTGCATGATAGAGACAATAAGAGTGAACATGACAGCTTAATTTGGAGGGTAGAAAACAAAACTACGAATAAAAATTTTGAACATCAATTCGTACAATTTTAAGATGCATATAGGCAAATATAGACTTTTTCTATCCGATTCCAACTTTTCAAAATATGAGCTCATTCATCTATCAAATACAATTTGTGAGAAAGAAGAAAAATGAAGAATAAAAAGGGCGAATGATACTACTTTAAAATTCAGAAATAACACATCAAAAATGAAATGGGTCAGCATTCATAAAACAAAAGAACATATTGAATGAAAGTTTTACTCCTCCGATCCAGCAAGACCCGAAAAGGATAGCGCTTCAACTATTATAATAACAAATTAGAAAATATTAAAACCATCATTAAATCCCGAGTCAATTTCTCGGAAGGTCACTGAAAGAAAGTGTTTGTGAAAGCCACTTTACTTTGTTTTATAACAAAAAATTATTATATTTTGCCAATTGTAACTCAAAAGTCAATCGACACTTTTAGGGCATATTAAATATTGTTGTTCATATTTCTTTTGCAACCCAACCATTTAAAAGATTAGAAACATCCATTTAAACATGACCCAACCTGCTACAGGAAAATCGAAAATTGCTGTGACTCGATAATTTCGTAACAAATCCATTTAAGAAATAGTAACTCATTAAGTAGCAATAGATAAATGTGGATCAATTTTTAAAGTATATAAAGAATTACGTAGAGAGAAGTATGAATTGGGTCCTTGCCTGTGTTGGAGTAGAAGAAGTTTATCCCACTCTAATATGCAGCAGACCAATTTACCTTGCAATTCAACCCAGTTTGAAATCAATCAGTCAAAAAGTTCGTATAGGAAGATGGCAGAGCAACTAATTAATAGAAGAGAAGTAAGAATGAGATGCAATTTCCATTCATATGGTCTTAGATGAGATGGACATTCATAAAATAAATAGATGTAATAAAATTCAAATGGAGCAAGAGAAGAATAAACCTGAGAGAGTGGTTGAATCATAGGAAGAGAGCAGGAATGGAACATTCTAGTATATTTTGTTTAAAATGATGATGCAAGACGGAAGAAGCTGGGAGGCTTTTAAGACGCGTTTCAGTAAGCAAAGCATAGGTTAAAGCGAAATACCAATTATACCCTTGGTCGACCAACTTCTCTTTTCTATATAATATATAATAAAAATACTTAATCCTGTTTCCGTTTTTTAATCGTCTTCTTTGACATCCTCAATAAGTAATGTCATTCCCGCATCTTACATAAAGGCTTGTCTGTACAAATAAATCAGGTAATTTTCTACGACGAAATTTCACATTGTTATTTTTCGGACGGCTAAATAATATTTAATTATTATTTTAAAATTATATAATGTCTAGTCGTATCTTAATGCAAAAAATAAAATTTAAACAAAACTACTTGTTAAACATAATAGAACTTCAACTTACAATTCAAACTTTACAGGGTTTTTATGAATTTTTACAAGAACAAATAAAAGAAAATAAAGAAAAGGCCATGTTACTATTATCTTTGGCTAATTTTTTGCTCTCACACACTATAAAGTATTACTTTAGTACAAAATTATTTGATAAATAGTTCTGATTTTGAAAAATAGACGAGCTTATCTAGTCAATAAAATTTTTATATATCTTTTAAATATTTTAAATTATAAACTATCTTGATTTATAGAACTTTCATGTAGTTTTCAAATATATATACACTAGTTTTATAGTATGCACGTTGAGCATGAATTTTTTATTTCAATGAATATAAATTTAAAAATTACATAAATAATATTAAATTATGTGATTACATAATAGAATAAACTTTTTAAAAAGCAAAAGCTCTTAAAAATAATAAAGTTAGCCAATTTAATAAAAGAAAAATACTACTATCTCACAAATTTNTAAATAATATTAAATTATGTGATTACATAATAGAATAAATTTTTTAAAAAGCAAAAGCTCTTAAAAATAATAAAGTTAGCCAATTTAATAAAAGAAAAATACTACTATCTCACAAAAAATTTTTAACGTCCTTATCATTGCGTCGAGATATGAGCTGTGCAATTGCTTTAGTAGATCAGACAAAGTAGAATAATATGTTTATTTGTACTCAAATATCAAATAACAATACTATATTCTTCATGGCTTTAAAATAAATTATATTTACTCAAGTACCTAAAAATTTCATCTTACTCCTATTGGAACTCAAATCGAATACAAAAAACGAAAAGAGACTTCATATTGTTAAGTATAGTTATCACTTACCATAAATAAATTAATTGGATGGGTAATATTTAAATCAACTAAATTTGTATATAAAAAGAAATAAAATAATTTTCATAAAAATTANAAATAAAATAATTTTCAATGTTAGGTAGAAAATTAATGCTTTATTTTTATCTAAAATGAAGTTTATCATAATGTAATATAATTTTCAAGAGGTATAAAATTTTATTAATATTTCATGTAGATTTAAAATTTATTCATAAAAATTATTATAATAATATTTAAAATATTTATTTTTATCTACATACACATTTTAAAGATATTTTAGTGACACGGTACTTGAGTTCAGCTTATTAATATTATCTCACTTAATTCGCAAATGATATTGCTGATATATGCTCTCTCTCTCTCTATTTATTTTTTTTTTATTTTTTTAGCACATATATTTTCTCTTTTATCATTTGGATGGCCTTGTCATGAGAAAAATCTTACAGTTAACACTATTATTTGTCACAAATATTTTAGCTATCGTAAATAAAGGAAATGATATAATAAAGAAAAATCTTAATTGATTTTACAATTTTAAATATTAGGGGCTATTGATTGATGTTATCTTGGTCCTTATTCAAGTTTTATCAAAACGTAATATGTATGGTAGGCCTTTTTTTTTGGG